AGTGGTCATAAGAGCACACGCTGTGGCGATCAACATCATCGATGCCATCATCCAAGCTATGGGTGACATGGTGTTCAATTGGATCAAATACCCCTTCGTCCTTGGCGACGACGTTGCGGGTGAAGTAGTCGAAGTTGGCCCCGGAGTGACGCGCTTCAAGACGGGAGATCGCGTAGTAGGCCACGCAGTTAGCCTTGACAAGCGCAGCAATCGCGCCTGCGAGGGAGCATTCCAGCAATACGTAGTCCTACGCGAGCATCTCGTTTCGCCCATCCCCGAGTCCCTTCCGTATGAGAACGCATGCGTATTACCATTGACATGCTCGACAGCAGCATGCGGGCTTTTCCAAAAAGACTATCTCGCGCTGCGCCATCCGTCCGCGAAGACGGCGAAGAACGCCACCGGCGAGACGCTGCTGGTCTGGGGCGGTTCCACCAGTCTCGGTAGCAATGCAATCCAGCTCGCCGTTGCGGCTGGCTATGAGGTCATTGCAACAGCTTCGCCGAAGAACTTTGAGTATGTCAAGGACTTGGGTGCAAGCATGGTTTTCGATTATCGCAGCCCCACTGCAATCGCCGACATCACCACAGCGCTCAAGAGCAAGAAGAGCATCGGAGCTATTGCCATTGGAGACGGATCGTTGGAAGCATGCATCCCCATCATCGGCGCCGCAGGAGGTCGGAAGTTCATTGCTCAAGCTAGCTTGCCTCAACCGAAAAGTCTGCCGCCGAAGGGCTTCGAGTTGGTTTCGTTTATTGCAACTTTCCTTTGGTTCAACGTCTCCACATCGGTCAAGTGCAGACTGAGAGGCGTGTCTGCCAAATTCATCAACGGATCTGACCTCATGGCCAACGAGGTAGGAGCCGCCATCTACGAGCATTTCTTGCCGGAGGCGCTGGCATCTGGGAAGTATGTCGCTGCACCGAAGCCGCAGGTAATCGGACATGGTTTGGAGTATGTGCAGGAAGGGCTGAATCTGGTGAAGAAGGGGGTGTCGAATTCGAAACTGGTGGTTAACCTTTGAAGATGTTTTGTTACTATGGATGTCGGTACGCTAATGATGTTATCCCATTGTATTCTCAGCGGTAGTCGTAGTCTTCATTATATTGTCTTTCTTCGAATTAAGAGTAAATATTAAGACGAATATATCCCAAAAGACTCTGATATCAATCTTATTTCCCCCTCTGCCCAAAGCGTGTCCAAGCTAATCAAGTCTTTAGGACAATACAAAAAGCACCAAAATCTAGTTCATCAGAATCACCCATGGCGGTCCAAGCAACTGTGAGCCATCAGCGAACGCTGTACCCAACTGCACAGCAACACTAAACCCCAGATCCAGCTTCAGCGTGAAAGTAGTGACCAGTAAGCCGCCATTTAAGCGTGCAAATTTCAGGCTCAAACTCAAGGACCGCGCAAGCGGATCTGCGACGAATGAAACTCGCAGCATTGGGAGGATAGTTTGTGAGCGTAGGCCGCTGCGGTTGATGACTGCGTGATTAGTGTACGAAAGTCAATAGGTGACTGTCGTTGTTTGCTGGCTATTTGAGTAAGTCACTGGTCACGGTAGCAATTTCCGAACACATCACGAGAATTGGTGGTGTGTTTGCGGGTTCGTTTTCTTTTCACAGTTTTCAGTCGATGTCTTGAAGTTTGTATGAATGAATACTTCCTGACATTCTTGAAAAACCTCCGCTGTGAAGAAATGGTACAATCATGTGTGCCGTCGCCATCCTTATTCACCCCTAGGAAAACATAGCTTAGCCAATACAGTCCCATTCATACAACTCTAATTAACTGCCACCCTACATTATGTTCATTGCTACATGCGAACAGCAGCAACCCAAGCATTCAGCATCCCAAGTCACCAACCCGAACCATACCGCTTTGCGCGCTCCAATCTTTTCTCCGCCTCGCGCAACTTCTTCCTCGCCTCTTCATACTTCTGCTTGCAGTCTTCAAACACTGCCTTCGTATCGTCGTGTGTCTGGACCGCCTTTACGTGAGCCCGCGTTGCTTCTTCGATGTCGTTCGAAGCGTGTTCGGCACCGCGGCGGTTCCCCCTTCGTTGAAGCCAAGGGGCAGTGTAATTGTGGTTGTAGCCTCGATAGGGCGCCGTTCGGTTGGGAGAGGGATAGTTCCACATTGGCGATGTAGTTACGCAAGGTTCACGTATTCGCGTGTGGTGATTTGCGCTGGTTCTAATGGCAGTTTCGCCTCTTTATTTGGTAGTCGTGGACGGGAGGTCGTTGTAGTGGCGCGCAGGATTGCGCTTTACTAGGTTTTATAGAGCATCTTGAATATCGTCAAACGAGACTGATGCGTTGTTGATTGCGATGCTCGTGTGTCGAGCTGCCAAGTTTCTTGCATGATGACCGCTCCTAGAACGATGGTCAGTGGTAGTGCTTCAGTCGGTTTTTGTTTCGCTATCAAGTCGATGGTATCACGTTCGTTCCTAAAAAGGTGGAAATGATGAAATCGACAGAATGCGTGCGTGTAGCAACAACCTGCTCAATTAGTGAGCGCCCCGATATCACGAATGATAGTGAGTCAATGGCAATCAGTGAAGAGCAAACAGCATATCAAAGTTTTGACGATGACTACCGAAACAGGAGGACAGTGACTGAACATCGAAGGCTGGATATAACTTATATTCGATGAGTCGTGACTACGTCTAATGCATTATGTCTTGACGATGGAGACCGTGTCATGCTAGAGTGCCACCGAAGAACGATCTGTTCACACGCAATTCAAAACTGGATTGATATTAGCTTCACGTCACAGGGAAGAGGTCATTAGAATGCAAGCTCACGTTCTGCTCGCTGGTCGGGCTCCCTGGATGAACCAGTGTATTGACACAGTGCTATTGAATATGCATGTTTGTAACCTGGTGCTGCGCTGGTGTGCCGAAACTACCCAGAACGAGTCAGCGCGCCTGTCCTTTACTTCACTGCTGATGCAAATAGATAAAAGAGATGAATGAGAATGCATGCGCTGACTGGCATGAAGGATGATGAGTTGTTATAAGAGGAACCCCACAAACTTTGGCGGCCTAAGTGACGCAAGACCGCGACTAACCGCTTTCGTACCCTCGCTCCTCCACCCTCTGCCCAACACGTGGCCCCCAATCACCGTCCCCAGCTCCTCTCACGTCGCATCGTATCATGGCTGCATCTGCGGGCTAAACGTGGGCGCAGCGTACAGCGCACAGCATGCGTTCACCGGGCGTTCAGCCTGCCCCCACAAAGATGCCCCACCCCGAAAGCTTCCCCAGCCGACCATGCTGAGCATCATCATCATCACAACCACCCTTCGATAATCGCCTGAAACAATGGCTGTTTGCAAGTTCGAGGGCAAGAGCGACATGTATGGGCTGGGGATCCGGCTGGGATTCTATTTCCAGTGGGTTGGGGCGATCCTGGCGCGCATAATGGCGCCTTCGGAGATCAGGAGCTTGACTTTCTCTAACGACTTATTCGTCGCGGCGGCGTTTCTTGCTCTAATCATCTCAACGGCAAATGATGTATACAGCCTCGAGCCAGTCGAGACGTACATTGTGCTTCTGCTCATGTTTGGTGTCTATCTGGTGCTGGTACCGATATATATTTGGCGATTGTTGACAGCATGCGATCCCTACTGGGTAAGTAACCGTTGCATTCCATATATCGAAGCTACACGACTACACTTAGAAAGTTAGTAGCTGTTGGCCTATGGATCGGGAAGTCGTGCGCGTCCGTGATGAGTCGTGACCTTCTAATTCCTGGCTTGTGGCCGCGCAGGACCCGACACGATATCCGCGCGTGAATCTCGGGGCCGTCTCCGCGAACCTGAGCTTCATCCTCCTCATCGGCATCCTGGTGTTTCAGTACTGGTTCTGGTTTGATCGCGTGCCAGACCTCGACCATCGCAACTGCCAACAATACGGCTTCGTCTTCGGCCAGGTGCGCCTCAACAGCAAGGTCTCAGTCGTCCTGCATGCCCTGATGTACTTCTGGCTAGGGCTGGTCTGCCTGTACATCCTCCTCTTGAAGCTACGAGCCATGGCCGGCTTTCCGGATCCGGGAGCGCGAGCGCGGAGGCCCAAGAGGTTGCACATCGAGTTCCTGCAGAATCTCGATGTCTGGATCAGGGTTGTGATTGCGCTCGCTGTCATCGTCGCCACCGAGCTTACGGTCTCTTGGAACGAAATCAAAGGTGTTAATTCGCTTTCAGGGGTTTGTCAGACGATTCCGTTCGTTATTGGGTTGGCCGCGATTGTTCGGGTCCTCTACGTGAATATGTATTACGAGACGGTTGTTCTTCCTCGATCTGGATCTGCTTCGAGCCATCCGCACTCAGAAGTGGATGTAGACATTGCGCGTCCACCGCAAGCTCGAAAGAGATGAATTGGTCCAGTAGGCGCGAGAGTATCTGGTTTGTGGTATTTGGGAAGAATGTCTTCAAGCCTAAAGTCGTTTTTGTATCCTAATACTTGCACTACGCTTGTTCCGGTCGACTTTGTGGATCGCAGGTACTGGTCATCCGAATGTGAGGGATTGCTTCAAGCACTCTGGATGATGATGTAGTAAATAAGTGGAACCTTCCTTGCTAAATTGGGATAGCAGCAAACCTTTCATCGTATTCGGGAGGGCCTGTACGAGCACCTGGATGTTGCGATGGCATCTTCTTGCAATTGACACAACACTCTAGTGGACATGTTTTCAGCAGGTATACGATTGAACGGTGTTCTTCAAAGTCGTAAGAAATTGTTCTCGTGGGATGTCGAAGTTCTACCATCCGTCGGAGAGGCGGCAGGGCACACACACCCCTAGCGGCCGACTCATCGCCGATGGCGCCAACGCCCCACGCCACGGATAACGCGGCGGTGACTCATATTTGCTGCTTGTGCACACGCCATGATTGCGGGAGGTATCGTTCCCTGCTCCTCTCGACTGTCGTATCGAGCACATATATTTCGGCCAGCTCCGAATTTCCATCAAGTCAGCTATCTCCGAGAGATGCAAGGCCTGCTGGCGCAATGGTAGCGCGTGGCCCTCCTACGGTTGCTTACAGCAGCTGCTAGGCCAAGGTTGCAGGTTCGAGTCCTGCGTAGGTCGTTTCTTTTTGTCGCCTTCGCATCGAGAGGGTGATCAGAGTTTTGAAGTGCCATGTGCGTCAGAAGGATGGTGCGTTTTTCTTGTTGGCTTTTCGTCGGTGGACGTGCACATGTGCCGTGGCTAAGCGAGCCGTCGTAACAGGCCTAGCGAATCTTCTACTCCCAACAGGGCCGGCCACGAGCTTCTTATCACGGCTTGATCATTTTCAACTTTAGTCTTTTCGTGGCTGCTGAATGGCAACAAGTATTGAGCTTAAACAAAGCTTCGCGAAACCAAGGTTACCTCACTACCCTTCCCAGCCGCCATCACAGTTCGTGAAGTGCAAAAGCAAAACTTTACAATTCAAACACGCATTTTGCTTTGATCAATGGTCATCTTCTTCAACAATAAACTAAGTTCTTTCTAGATGGTGCGGGACCTTCGCTATCTACTCATATCTGATGCATCCCCTATGGACCACTCCAAGCTATCAATGTTCCAATGCTGGCAAAGAACACGTGAAACGTACAAGCGTACAGGCTCGTTCCCTAGTACCCCCCACCGACCTCCGGTCGTTGATGGAGTCCCGCTTCCGTTCCTGCAACAACCCCTACGAAGAAGCTCACCGAACCTTGGAATTTGACGGCCCTTGGATTTTGGATTTTTGTGAAGGTTGCGAAGTCTGGACAATTCGTCGAGGTAACAGAGTCAGAGCAATTGGTGGTGGTCGCGGAATTTTAGACGTCATCGTGTTCTCTCCGCTCTTCGATATCAAATTGGTCTCTGTACCTTCACTTCTATCGCTCTTCTCCGAAAAGGATCGTTGGGGCGAGTCTATTCGTTGGGATTGGTCTTGCGAGTCATTCGTCAGTGTCCAGCAGGAATTTACTGCTGGGATCTTCATGTTTTCCGCTTTGTTTTCATCGAAGATCCACTTTGCCTTGTCTTGGTCCAGGACTGCCTTAATAGGTGGTCGTCTCTGGTTCTCTGAGAATGTACGCTCGTCGACGTATTGAGCACTCGGTTTTCGATGCTGTGGCTGGACGTAAATTTCGTATCGTCGGAGTGCTACCTGGGACATGTCATAGGGTTCCCGATGACAAGTAGACCTATTGTCCTGCCACTCCGCCCAGATTGAATAAACGTTGTCTATCTCGTTTCGTATAATCCACGATTGTTGGTCATCGACTTGAACCTCAAAGTGACCTTTAGTCCAACCGTATAATGCCACCGCTAGCTGCTTTGTGCACTCTTCTTCGATGTCAAAGGAGAACTGATTCCAGAGAGCGAGGAATATTCGTTCGGGAGAGAGATCCGAGCGCACTGACTTGGTGAGCCAGTATCTACGCAGATGTGCCGGTTTCAGGAGTGCTTGCAGCTCTGGACGGTCGGCATAAGGACCGAGATTGAGTAGACGGCCGGGGTCCTCGAGTAGGGGAGGAAAGCATTCTTTAGCGATTATACCACTCATGACTCCAGACCATGGTAGAATCCCCCGTATTGCCTTTTCGGGTATACTACCCCACATCACTCCTCTTGAGGTAGTGGCTTCGTCATCAACGTCTTTGATTTCCAAATGCTTCTTCAGAAACGGAAGAGGAACGAAAGGTCTATCCGGTAGATGCTCCACATCTAATACGCCCACTACGATCGTAACGTCTTCTGCGTGTTGTGCACATCCTTTGCACCACTTCACTCTTCTTGATTTGTTGTGCTCCAAGATCCTGGCTTGAGCAAAAGCATCGAGGAGTTCGCCGTGTAGAAGTACGAACGGTACGGGGTAGCTTGCATCTCGTTCAACTTCCACTGCGTACTCCGTTAGGGCCGATGACGTTGTTTGTGGTAGACTGCTGGTTGCATGCTCTTCTCTAAGCGCTTGTACTTTGCTTTTTTTACTACTATTACTTAATAGCATACCTTCCGATAACTCGGAGACGAAGAAAGCGATGCTAGGTGAGAGTGTACTAGTTGGTATTTTATTTCCGTGAAGAGTATCGAGAAGACTGTTAGAGGCAATCTGTAGAAAGAGCTCCTCAACGTGATCAACAGTTTTACTGTCTGCTGATACTGCAAGCGTAGCACTGTTAGCACGTTCCCGCTTTGTCAAATGATTACAACAATCTATCTTCCTTCGATAGAATCTTAAGCGGGACACTTCATGGATACGCACCTTTCTCTTGCGATTGGTTCTCAGAAACGGCCGGCCGTTGCCGGCCATCCTTGAAGAATGATCGTACTGAGCTGAACTTGCGCTTGCTCCACGAATCAACTGCTCTTGTGTTTTCTTTTTTGCGTTCTTCGACATTCGAAGAGCTTTGAATGTCGTTGCTTGCCGTGGTCGTCATCTTGATCACGGGGTACTTGAAAGATAGAAAGAGCAATTCGAGTCCGGTGTCGAACTGTGATCATGTCATTCCCAGTCAAGGGTAGGGGAACCCAGGAAGAAGGATTGATGCTCACCTGCGGATATGACTTCAGATCGGAAGAGGCTGAGGCTGAGGAGAGTACAGTCTACCGGTCGACCTATGGCTGCTATTTATACTTGAAGTCGACAGCGGTCCCACAAGCGTTTGAATGCTCGATAAGGTTTGTTGAGAGGACGTAGACGTCACCGTCTCGCAGAGCTTGACCTGCCGTCCGAATGTCAACTCGAATCATTCGCTCTACTTACAAAATCGTAGACGCACTCTAGGCCCACTGTCCTGTTCGGGGATTCATGCAAAGAGACATTTGGGTTGTTCATTGCGTCGAGGTTGAGGCTGGAGGATGGTGGAGGGTGGAGTGTTTTAGTGAGGGGCACCAACGACCCGCAAAACACGGCCATTGAGCTGGGCAGTGGTTTCGCAATGGCTTCGTTGATTGCTGCAATCTTTGGAATGTGGAAGGTGTGAATGATGTCGTGAGAAGTGGCAACGACCTTCGAACCGTGGCACTGGACCGAGCAGCGCCTTTCCCAACTTCTTCGCACCCTCGTGACTTCCTTATTTTCGCAATCTCGGCGACCCACAAGATTTCTGCCAACCTTCAACCGTGGGACGGAGCTGGTCATGTTTTCACCACCGATGACGGCGTACCTGCTGCGCCATCTCCTAATTGCGTGTGGCATCTTCTACCATGGGTAATGGTTCATTGAGGTGGCGTGATTCATCCATGAATCATTCCATCAGGAACGTGGCCCTTTTCGAGACTCTGTTCACAAGTGTATCAATCCTCGCTGTGGCCGAAGTGTATACTATTCGGCATTTGCAATTGGTTCAACAGCCTTTTGGAATAACAATTTGCTTTTTGCTGCATTCGAGGACTCGTTAGAAGCGAGTTCCATACGATAACAGGGCAAGAGCGGCCTTCAAACTGCTGTGCTACAGCTGTGGTATCTGCTGGTCATCTCGTCACTGAAAGGATACAAGCCCAATGCGGACTAGGCGGGTCTTTTATTCACTGTCAACTAGTCGCTAGTGCGCCGTGCGTTGGACCGTGCCCGCGCTCTCACTTTGCGATCCACTGTTATAAGTCTGCGACCCACATTACAGCGATGTCGAGGTCAGCGACAATCGCTGTGGCCACATTTCAAGTGTCGACGAACTCAACAGTCGTTGTCCGCACCTGCCGTCATCGAGGACGATATCGAGCCTCATGTGAAGAAGGCGATGACTCAAGCAACATCCATTGAGAAAGGGAATCGTCGCGTCGGGGCAATGAGTGCAACAATCAAGATCACTTTCATCAATCTTCTTTGAGGCCTTCACTATCCACAATTGGATCGCGATGCACTCACCTGCTATGACGTCATGCATCGTGTGAACCAACATCACCAGCACTTATTGCATGCCAACATGCCATGCACTATCGGACGATGCTTCCAGTACAGGGCTCCTTCACAGGTTTGATGCCACTACGGTTTTGCTGCTGCACGACCAGCCTAGCGCTGCTTATTGATGCTGCACTAGGATGGATTCTCGTTCGCTTCTCTATCACCTCGCAGATCGCGTACCATTTTGAGCTGTTTTCAGTCGCCTTCTGACGTCGCACAGCATGATCCCCATTTCGAAGCGGAGGAAAGATGGAAACAAGATTCGCCTTGAAAACCAAAGCATTACTGTATATGTAGAAAACTTACCCAAACACTCCAAAATCAAATCCTCGTTCTTTCACTCACCAGTGTAAACAATTAATTCAATGGCTTCACAACCGAGATCAAGATCCCCCTCCATCTCACCTATTTCCACACCTGGCCTTCCCACCGCCGATAAAAGACCCCCAATGACCGACTCTAGGCAGCCAAGTCCTGATTCTCCCAAACAACCAAACACCGATGCCCCCACACACCCTCCAGACGCAACCCCCCATGCCAACAAGGAGCGCATGAGCTACACTCCCCAAGACTTACCTTCAATGAACCCCAAGCCAACCGCGGCGGAAAAACGGGCGACAGCATGGAGGAGAGCGCTGGTGATACCTTGCTGTCCATTTCTGACGTGCGCTTACTGCGTTTCGGGCTGCACCTTGTGTACCGCGTGCTTTATATTGGGTGACACGGGAACGGTTCGTACGATCCGATACTCACAGTGTGAATTTGCTGACTGACGGGGATGATTCAAGGTGGAGGAAGGACCCATGTGCACTTCCTGCTGCCCCGGCTCGATACAAGAAAAAGCCAAGGAGAGGGCGCGCAAGAAGGCCGAGAAGAAGAGCGCGAAGGAGAACCAACATCAAGACAAGTCGAACGAGCAAATCGTGACCGATGCGTAGTTGGAAATAAACGTGTGTAATTCTGGCTTCGGATTTTGATCATGGGTGTCATGACGAGCGGTGCACTACAGCTACGACTTCAATCTCGTACACTAGTTCGGCCTTTGCGAGCGCTTGTACCCCCAAGCGCGTGCTCGGCGGCTTCAATCCGCCCATCCACTCGGCGTACCTCTTCGGTCCTTCGGGATCCGGTCCCTTGCCTCCTCGTAGCAGATCTACAACGTACTGCCGTACCTGCACGATGTCTGCTTTCGTGGCGCCCGCTGCTTCGA